TTTTGATTTAGATGCCGATAACTGGAGCGATTAAACCTACAAGACTTTTATAAATAAATAAGCCTGCTGAAATAAAAAATTGGACCTAAATTTGTTATAACCATGTCAGATGGCTTATAGCCATGCCAAACTGTATTATCATTTGTTAACAAAAAAGAAAAAATAATTAGTTACTATGGTTTTTTTTGTAAACTTTATTTAAAATAAGTTAATAAATGAAAAATACACTACTTTGAAGACAGTTTTTGCATTTGGTACTTTTCAAACGGACTTCGAAACGCTAAAAAAGTTTTAAGACATTTATCCATCACTTAATTGCCTTTAATTCGATATATGAAACGAAGGAATTGGTTATTTGTAACTGGAGATATGCCCTAAATAATGGAACTGCCTCTGAAAAAAATGAAAAAAATGGATATAAGATGTGGGCGTGGCAATTTACGGAAAAAAAATATTTCAGTTAAATTAGTATAGTATGAGAAATATATGAGCGAAGTTTCAGCTAGATACCTTGTTCCTACGACTTTATGCCAAAAAAAACGGAATTGGGACCATAGTGCATAGTAGAAAATATTTTTCAATTGTTTTTCAATACATTTCTTTGTGGCTTTCCCAGCTTTTGTAACTTCTATAGTGTTGCCATTCATTTATTTATGCCAATGTGCACTTATATCCACATCTCAGTCAATTTCCTCCTTAATACTTCTACAGGCTATATCGAATTGAAGGGTACGAGTATGAGAGATACATTCTGTGTGTTTTCACTCACATTGAAAATTTCAACAAAATACAAATGAATTGAGTATTCATTTCATTTTCAGAATTCTCCCATATTTTGAATATACGAATGCTTCCAACAATACACATAATAAATTTTGTAGGAATACGAAGTATGAATTTATATTTCCGCCCGTAAATTATTGCAAAGCTTCGCAGGCTTTCACTTACATATTTACAAGTCATTTCTTCTCTGCCTTCAATTTTCATAGTCCCAACTAATGGGAACCATCTAACCCTTCTTCACTCTCCAGCTGTCCAGTACAAACGTCTAAATTACTGCCTACGTACCATGATACGACAGCTTCCTTATGACCTTACTCCATATTGTGGCTATTCATCTTCGGATGCATTTCTTCTCCCCTTGCTTGTAAATTTCGCCCCTTACGTTGTTTCTAACTTATGTACATGCATATTTAGTAACCTCCAACGTGCACACAATACATTCGAGCGTTTGATACTGATAAACAGACTGAGTGACTGCTTCATCCATCAGAATGCCAGTAGATATATCATACCATGTCAGTAACCAAATTGATGTCAAAAATCCTTCACAGCCCCTGCTCAAATTTCAGCTAACTAAACTAACGCCATCGGCGTAGTCAGGGGGTGAAGGCGTATGATTTGGAGGATAGATCCACCTTCTATAATGAACTACTACTATCTTTTACTTTTGATTTATTAACACAATAGGGTATTCATCTAAACACATAAATGCCTCGTAACCCCGTAAACCTCGTAAAATTGTTTAATTTTGTATGGAAAATTTGTTTATTTACGAGGCTTACGAGACAATTTAATGTTTAGACGAATACCCATAATACCTTTTTATCCTTAGATTTATAAATTTTCTATTTTAGATTAATGACGGTTGATAAAATTCGGAAACGTACTTACATATATTTCCATAGTTTGATTATTCAAACGTATAAAAACACCGGGTTTAGTATACTTTTGCTATATTTTATAAAAATCGCATTCTTAAAGACACATACACGCATTTTTGCACATTACTTTAAGTTTTCCTAACATAGTTTATTTATAATTGGCCGTTAATTGAAAGTTCTGTTGATATTTTTTTTTTTTGTTTTGCCTTGAGCTCAAAAAAATATCAACAGAATTTTCTTAACATAATTTTGTTTGGGCAAGAAAATTTTGGGGCAGAGCATTAGAGAGGCGATTCCTATCGGACTTTTTCAGTTTTTTTTTTAAACCTAGAGTTAAACAAAAATTAGGTTCCGCCACCATCAGTCCGCAAAAAGAAGTGTTTAAAAAAATTAGCGGTTGCAAACTAAAGTTTGTATATGATATATGGTTTTGTTGTTTGCTTAAAAATTACTTGTTTTTTCGACGAAGCATTTTCTTCCAACGAATAATTAACTCAAAAAATTGTTATGCGGCTCTAAAAATGTATTCGGGGTGGTGGGGCCGAGTGACGAGCATTGCTGATTTAAATAGCCTTAAATTTGAAAGTCCTTGCAAGACTTTTGGTACTGATTAATTAGCTCTTATCTAGCGTATTGTGTGAAAGGCTGAAGCCACACTGGAATCCATAAGTGTGGCTTTGTTAAATGACGCAATACCAGCAGCTCGTTTTTGAACCGAATTCTGAGATACGGCGTTCTTCAACCAGATTCTGAAATAGGGCGTTGTTAGCAATTTTCTAGATAGCGCGTTTTCGAACTGGCTGCCGAGATAAGTCGATCTTCCACTCAGCCATCGATATATTTTCTTTATAAAACTTAGCCAGTACATTTTGCATACTCAAAAATGATACTGAGAACGGTAATTATGTCTAATACGTGAAAGAATACATACAGGCAACGTGTCTAGCCTTCCCGCAATACTGGCTACGCCTTTGCTAACGACTAATCAAAATCAGTCAGCGGTCACCTCCTTAGAAGGATAATTGTGGAGATTCTGGCGTGTGTATTTCGGGTAGGTGAACACAGCAAGCAGTTCAACTACGTTTGGGCTCTTAAGCAAAGTTGTTTATAAATTATTACTGTATGGCGGTATGTGAGTACCTATTATAGATAGTATGTATGTTTGTTGCGTTGAGTAGTATTAGGTTTGTATAGTAACCAATAGTCAGTACTAATTTGTACTGGAACCTGCAAATTTTTACTGGAAAAGTGTATGATAAAGCTCGGAGCACTTTGACGACTGCAACTTCACGACGTAACGACAGCGACATCATTTTGTCGACAAATGTCGCCTTGAAGCCAGCTTCTTAAACATTTTGAAGACCTCAGCGACATAGCAAACAGCTGATTTTAAAGTTTGACATTTTGGTATATTTATTTCACAAATTGTGTATTTTTATTTAAGTAAATAAGAAAAACATGAACAATCAAGAATATGTGATTAATTTTGCGAGAATTTAATTTTGCAGCACTACATCTACTCATTGTCGCCGGCAAAATTAGAAATAGATTTAATTTGGCGACGTCGACAATTGCAGTCCTGCAGCGAAGATGTCGTGCTGTCGTCAAAATAATTGTGTCCGTAAGAACGTGTGTATTTAAAATTTGACAGATGCTGCTTGTCGCTTGCTGTCGTCAAAGTGTTCCGAGCTTAACCCAAAAAATTGGCAAGAGAGCACTGAATCGAGAGCGTAACAACACGGGAGAGCTGCAAATTCTAGCTAGAAGAAGAAGCAATAGAATAAATATCAAACGCCGCCATTTGTTGGATTGGTTTAGCACAAACAAAAATAAAATGAGTGGAAATCAAAATATTAGTGATGTACTGGAATGTGTAAGTGCTTGTGTGTAAAGCAAAGAGTTTAAAACTGATTTATAAATAGTAAAATGTTTACAGCAGAATGTCAAAACAACTGTTCACTTGCAAGTTTTTGCTAGTTTTGTGTTCAGTAACTACTTATTTCTCTTCTTCTCAATTTTACGCTCTATTTTGCTTTTACGCTCTCGCTGCATTGTTTTACTGGAGAAGTTACTATACAAACCTATTGTTGGACCTACACATTGCAACTGATTACTAATTCAATCGTAAGTATACTAGAGCTTTGCATTTTGGCTTTAAAGTGCGTTTTTATGCTAATAAGTACATACGCCTTCGCATATTCACTTATATATGCACAAGATTGTACCTACATTTAATACAAAAGCGGATGAAATAGCAGTTCTTAAAAACCAAGGCAGCATATGGTTGGAATCAGTGTGCAAATCTCTACCACATATGTGGTTTATCTACCACATATTTTTTAAAATTTGGGTGTCTAACACATCTACCACACAAGGCTTAAAATCTATCACATTTAGGTACATTTTTGTTAACAATTTTCACATAACTCTAAAATTTCAACTCAATTCTTATACGAAATACAAAAATTAATCATACATATTTAAAAAGGTACATCATACATGTTGCTTTGAATATATCTGTCATTATCTTTTTAATATATCAAAAATCCGCATATTTCTATTTGCTAAAGTATTATGCAATGGAAAAATAATTTGGTCGATTCTTTTGCATAAATCAATTTGTAGGATTTTTCTCAAATTAATGAACATATTTTTTTCTTCATGATTCCCAATAAACATTTTTGTTAAATCTCAATTTGAGATGCATTTGCGGTCCTTTTCTCAAATCTCAAACGTTAGTTCTCAAATGTATCTCAAATAACCGTTGATAGCGTTCTCAAACTAAAAGGCACTTTTTTAATATGGAATTTTCCTTTATTTTCAAATTGAGAAATGTTGAATCCTCGACTTTTTCTCAAACGTGAGTGGAGCGGAACGAAATGAAATCCAGTTGCTCTGATTGAAATATTTGTATAGTGTTGCCAATGACACATGTAAGAGCAACACAGTTTTTATAGGAAGGGAATGTTTATTTATGCTGTTTAACAGTTTATTACCAAACACGCCAATGACTAAACTTATCATTTTCTTATATACAGCTCCTAAAATTATAACGCAGAACATTGTTTCGTCTTTGTCACTTACTCAGTAACAATAACATTAATACTTTTCATTATAAGAGCGCTTACCTTACCTTACATGTTTTGGAGAAAATTAGAAGGAGTAGGCGTAGGGCTTAACTGTTTCGTATATTACCTCTATAGACACAAACCAAGAAAACAACGAAAAAAATTCAAACCTAACCTCAAAAATGTCTTAAAAATTTCACTAAAAGGACATCGATGAATGTAGAACACCGAAAATGACGTCCATATATTTACAATAGTGGGATTCGAACCCCATACTATGGATCTCTTCTATGAGCGCGTGGAGCGTACATATGAGCGCTGCGCCCGACACGATATCAAAATCTTGCTCGACGGTTTTAATGCCAAGGTGGAAAAAAAGGGACATTTGGCGCCACTGGCGGAAAATTAAGCCTCCACGACGAAACGTCCGATAACGGATTGAGGTTGATCGACTTCGCCGGAGCCCGAAACATTGTAATATGTAGTACTAGGTTCCAGCATAAGAACATCCACCCAGCTACATGGCTGTCTCTAGATCGAAAAAACGAGAAACCAAATCGACCATGTTGTGATAGACGGAAGGCATGCTTCCAATGGTTCAGACATACGTACCCTTCGAGGGCCAAACATCGACTCGGACCACTATCATGTTGTAGCCGATATACGCACCCGCCTCAGTGCAGCAAAAAATGTGCGCTCAACAATGCAAGGAAAGCTTAACGTCAAAAAGCTGCAATCAAAACAGACGGCCAATTGATTCGCCACTCGACTCTCACACCTGCTGTGAGAGAGCACTCTTCAACAAAGCGACATACGCGAGTAGTGGAACC